CACAACCTGACTTTGTTTCCCACACTGATCCTCACTTTGAGTTCAGTAATAAAGGGTAGAAGTTTTTCATACCTTCAAAAATAACCAACCATAGTTGCTGGTAGATGTACCAAGATCATGACATATTTTTCTGCAATTAGTTATCTTGATAGGCTATCCAGTTGAGTGCCAAACCATCAAAAGTCAATATTGCGTATTATTCTATATTGATCTTTGCTTTTCAAATTTTTTCCAAAAGTGGTCCCTCACTTCTTCAGAAACATACCCCACCTCGTGTCTTGCATCTCAGGTTCTAAAAACCCCTTGAGCTTTAGTTGCAAAATATACTACCTAAAGGTTCTCAAAAATGAGGGCTTAGGAATTTCAATCCTTTTGACAGGGATAAAATTGGAAAGAATGAGGTTAAAAGGTGCTCTTTTTTCTACTCAGATGACCCAAGGTAGAAAGAGGAGAGGGAAGAATAATGGTGTTGGTTGTTATGAGATACCTACAAGGTCAAATGCCTGACAAGTGGGGTTGTACCTCAGCCAGTGGTTGGCAATATAGGAAAATCTCACTCCAATGATGATGTTGCCGGAAATTGAAATCTGGGCTGCTGCACTAGTATTTAAGATTTCATTGAGAATCCAAGGGGGCTCTTTTCTGGTTATTGTAAGAAAACTTGCATGCATAAATCGGAAGATGAAAGGTTTGTTCAATCTGTTGATGACAAGGATGGACATCAGGTGTATTATACTTTCTTCTAAAAATTTTATTCACTATCTTATTAATATGATAGTAACCCCTTCATTTAAAAAGTTTGCCCTTGCCAAATGTTAAATGATTCCACCATAGTTGTCAAGGCATCACCTAGGCGACTAGGCGCCCTTGGCTGGGCACCTCGCCCAAACGCCTTGACTTTTAGCAATTAGGCGCCCACCTAGGCGACTAAGTGCCCGCCTAGGCGACAAAAATGACAAGGTGGGCGCCTTTTATAATGTCATTTATATTGATGTATCTTATTAATGTATGTATTAATACATTTTATTATATGCTATATATATCAATTATACTTTGTTTTAATGTTTTACTATTGAAATTTAAAAGATCAAAGGGTTTTGCAGAGAGAAAAAGAAAGAAAGAAAGAAAGAAAGAAAGAAAGAAAGAAAGAAAAGAAAGAGGAAAGAAAGAATAGAATAATAAAGTTCTTTTTTTTTGTTCTCTCTCTCTCTAATTAAATAAAACAGAAACTGCATCCTTGTTTTTTTTTCTATTTTACTTTCTATCTTGAATATTTATCATATAAAGTTAATAACCTTCTTTAGTAGCTGCTAATTAATATGAATTTGCTCTATTAAATACATATTATAGTAGTATTATTTTTGAAAATAATGAAATTAATACATGTAAAAGATTTTTATATTATAAAACTAGGAAATTAATACATGAAAATAATGAAATTAATTTTGCCACATTTATAGAAGAAATTTAATGTTCTTAATAAAGAGAGTTGCTATTTTTTCAATTAACATACGTGCTGAATGGTATATAAAACTAAAAAACTAGCCAAAAGTCAGTTTTTTATATTATAAAACTTTTATCGCCTAGGCGACTAGGCGACTAGGTGCCCCAATGTCGCCCAGAATCGCCTAGACGCCTTGAAAACTATGGATTCCACCCTACCAGGGATCGGGGGAGGAAATGGTGAAGAATAATTCCCAGATCCTGGTCAACCTGGTGAATGATGTCCCCCCAACCATGAAGTAAATGGCATTGCTGAAAGGGTTTGAAATTAAATACTTCCACCAGATATACCTGCAAGGAGGAAAATACAGAACAAATATGATCTTGCAAATCAAGGGCATTATGTCACCCACCCCTTTGTTTGTTAAGTATTAGACCAAACATTGGGAGGTGGATCTTTAATCTTGTATTTTGGAGCTTGAGATTAGCATCTTCTGAAAGGGAAGGGCAAATGAAACTCCTCCTGCTAGGTAATACATGTATTCAACTAATAAAATATCCAGTAGGATTAGGGAATCTTGCTCATAAAAATGAAGCTCTTCTAGGGAAGTGGTTGTGGAGATGACCTTTAGAGAGGGAGAGGTTGTGGCATGCGGTGGTGGCAAGTATACATGGCTGTTCCAAAAATGGTTAGGATGCAGGGATATCTAGACAGGCTACTCTTGCAACACCTTGGAAGGCAATTCATGGCATCCTCCCCAAATTACTCCGCTTCGTCAAGTATGATGCTTGCTTTAGAACCCATGATCTTTTCTAGGAAGACACTTAGATGGGAAATTTGCGCCTCAAGGACCTGTTCCCCTCTCTTTTCTCTATTTCCCTTTATAAAAAAAGAACATGTGTTTACCTTTCTTTTTATCCCCATATACTCGTCTACAAATTGGGACCGTGGCTTCCATGGAGGGTTGAGGGATGAGGAATCCTTATTAGTTTCTGAGCTCTTATTGTTACTTGATTTTGTTTGCTTAGACCCGCTCAATTCTGATAGGAAAATTTGGACTTTGACTCCAAAAGGTTCATTTACTTGTGCCTCTTTCTTTAAATCCTTTTGCTCTAGTTCTTCTCCTTGGGCATTCCCAATTAAAGAAGTCTGGTCTAGGCCTATTCCCCCAAAATTAGCTATTTTTGTTGGGAAGTTTACTATGGTAAAATCAACATGATGGATAACCTGTAGAAGAAAAGACCTTTCTTGTGTTTATCCCCTAACTAGCGTACCTTGTGCAAAGCGCAGAATGAGGATTGTTTTTTTTTATGAATAATAGTAAGTTTATTGATTCAGAAGCAAATTAGAGTGAGTTCATACATCATCCCAGTGAGAGGCGCAAGCTGCGGCCCCTCCTTGAAACTTACAAGTAAACTAGGAAAGAAAAACAAGAATCACAACTGAGCCCAAAATAATTCTTCCCTATTTACCCCTTGCTTAGCTAACACATCTGACAAGGTATTTGCTGATC